TTGGGGAGGGGCACAGCCGTGGGAGGAGCTGAGCGCCCCCCACCCCCCCAGCTCCGTGTTTCTCCCTGCTGCTTGCTTTGCAGGCTCTCTTATCTGAATTTTTTTTTCCTTTTTTTATTTTTCTTTTTTTTTATAATTGTTTACTTAATTTTATTCATTGCCATTATTATTATTATTATTTAAGTTGACCAGAGAGAGAGAGAGAGAGAAAGAGAAGGAAAGTGAGAAAATAAGCTGCCAGGTCCAGGACCTGAACCACAGTCAGCCATGTGGGGGTCCAGTGCCTTAGCCACCCCGCCACCTGCTGGCCCATCTTCTCTGAATTTTAGTCATCTGGTGGGTATTCACGTTCGGCTACATTGTTGGAGGCATGGTAGTTAAGGGCACTGGACTCCTACATGGCCCACCGTAGTTCAAGTCCTGGACCTGGCAGCTTGCTTTGCACTTTCTATTTCTGTCCCTCTCTGGTCAAATTAAAATAAATAAGTAAATAAGTTAAATAACATAATTCTTTAAAAAAAAGAAAAAGATAAAAGGGCCGGCAAGTGTCATGGTGACTGACCGCGGCTTGAGCCCCAGACCTGGTGGCTTGCTTTCTCACTTTCTCTCCTTCTCTCTCTCTCTCTCACTCTCTTGCTCTGTCCCTCTCTGGTCAAATTAAAAATAAATAAAGTTAAAAAAGTAATTTTTAAAAATAAAACGAGAGGGAACCAGCAGTTAGCGTAATGGCTATGTCGCTGGACTCCCACGTAGTCGACCGCGGTTTGCATCCTGGACCCGGTGGCTTAAAACTCATGCCGGGCGCGTGTGCGTGCGTGCCCAAGATCCCGAGAGGAGAATGGAGGAGAAGGGATTGTGGTGTGACCATCCCCCCTGGGGGGTGATTTCTCGCTTTCTGTCTATGTCTCTCTCTGTCTGGCGAGTGCACGCGCCCTATAGCGAAAACCTCTCCAAAAAATTTCAAATTAAAAAATAAATAAATAAGTAAATAAAACGAGAGCATAAAGACTGAAAACACCCTGCAGTAGTCCAGCCTCCTTTGAACCAGGCTCCCTGGGCACCCAGGTGTGTGCTGAGCCAGCAGGGAGGTGGCCTGGGACCCAGGGTACAGGAGGGCCCAGAGGGGCGTGGCCCAGGACCCTCCTCCCTCCCCTCCCTTCCTGCAGACTGGCTCTGCCTCCCAGGGACCCTCCATGTTCAAGGATGCAGCCAGTCACCAGTCCAGACAGGAGGTGCTCCGGGGTCAGCCAAGGAGGTGGGGCTTGTGCTGAATGAGCAGGGTGTTGCCATGGAGACGGGATGGTGGAGGCTGAGGCCAAGGCCTTGCAGAGGCTCAGAGAGCTGGGCAGACAAAGGGGTCAGTGTCCAGGCGTCCCGTACAGTTGTGAATGGCAGAGGGGCGGGTGTGCACAGCACAGAGGACTTGGCAGCCTGTGGCTATGGAAGAGCCCTGGCAAATCTGCAGACAGCACCACCAGTGGGCGGAGCACAGCCGGGAGTGGGGGAGCCTGCTCGGGCTGCATTCTCCAGTGTGCGCTCAGCAAGCTGCCTTGCCCTGCTGCCCGAGTCCAGGGCAGGTTTCCAGTGGGGAGACTCCGTCCCGGCACAGCTCCGTGATGGCGATGTTTGCTGAGCCCCTCCACGTAGCAGGCATGGGAAGACTCTGTACTGATGGCAGTAAGGGGACAGACGCACCCGTCCCTGGTCACTGAGTGGACTGAGGCACAGTGAGCCGGTCTGTCCAGGCGGGCAGCCCTCCGGGTGCGCAGAGCCGTGGCTCTCGTCCCGTCTGTTGTGTGGCAGCGGGGGCTGTGCTTGTGCCATCGTCTGGGTGTCTCCGTGTGACTCGAGGGCCACCACGTTCTTTCCTCGGTGGACACATGGCCTTGGTGGCCCTCCCAGCCCTGGCTATCTCCCCAAGTCCGCAGCCGTCAGGAGCAGCGGCAGCCACCATGCCACCAGGTAGCTCTGTTGGAAGCCGCCCTGTGGGGGTGCAGGCGGACCGTGTGCTGGGCAGGGAGCAGGTACGGCCTCTGTCCCTCTGGGGGGGTTCTGGAGGTGCTGGCATTGGCGCTTCTGAGCCAGAGTGCTGGCCCTGCCCTTGTCCTCGAGCCGTACCTGGATGGCCTCAGGTGGGGCCCTGGCTGCTCCATGGGCCCGCTCAAGTGGACAGGCTCTGCTTCCTGTCTGTCTGCTCAGGCCTTGGGGACGTGGCAAGCCCAGAAAGTGGCACCACACAGGCCGTGCGGGACGGGCCGCTGCGCTGACAGCTGCTGGCTCTAGCATGTGCTCCTTGACTTGAGGGGCGTGATGGCGGGACCTCCCCTGGGCTGGGCCGGCTGTTGAACTGGGACACGTTCAGGTTAGAGAGCATTTTACTCCCTTCATTGTGATAACTCGCAGTTCCTCTTTAATTTTTACAGAATGGTTTATTTATTTTAATTTGACCAGAGAGGGACAGATCAAGAGAAGCGAGAGAATGAGCAAACCAGCCGCCAGGTCAGGGACTCAAACTATAGGCAGCCATGTGGGCGTCCTGCGCTCTTACCACCATGCCACCTGCCAGCCCCATTGACTTAGTTTTATTTTTGCTGTAGGCTGCTTGTGCTTACTGGAGAGAAACAGAGAGAGATGGGGACACTAGGAACTCTTGGGATTTGGGCAGACGTGCACACACGCCTGGTGTGGTTCTCCAAGCTGCTGAGTTCTAGACTTGAACTGTGAGGTCAGCCATGTGGGATCTAGCTGCCCTCACCACCACACCAGTGGCAGGCCCCCACCTAGAAGTCTGTTTACCGAGATCTAATTCACGTACCATACAGTGTACTCTTTTAAAGTGTGTAACTGTGTGGCTTCTGACCGTGCACCCATCCCGGAACGCTGTCATCACCCCAGAAAGAACTCCGTACCCACGAGCAGCCGGTCAGCCCTCCCCCTGCCCTCGCAGCCACTCACCTGCTTTCTGTCTCCAGATTCTGCTTTCTGAGCGTTTCCAGAGAAGTGGAACTGTACAGCTAGGTCTTCTGTTGCTGCTTTTCATTTAAGTTCATAATGGCTTTAGGGTTTATCCATCTTGTAGCATATTATTGACACCTCAGAGATGTTCTTCTAAAAATATTCTCATGAATTTTTTTTAAGAAAGATTTTTGCTACAGGACACGTGTGCTTGTCAGAGAGAGACAGAATTGTCAGAGACAGAAAGCGAAAAATCTCCCCCCAGGGGGGATGGCCACACTGCAGTCCCTTCTCCTCCATTCTCCTCTCGGGATTTTGGGCATGCACACGCACCTGGTATGAGGTTAAGCCACCAGGTCTGGGACTTGAACCGTGGTCGACTACATGGAAGTCCAGTGACACAGCCATTATGCCAACTGCTGGTCCCCACTGTCTGTTTTTTTAATCGCCAGAGGGAGTGTGCACTCACTAGAGAGACAGGGAGGACACCTGCTGACGGGGCATGGCGGTCCCTCCTCCGTCCTGTCAGGACCTGGGTATGCACAACACCCCGTGTGTTTTCCAGTTCCCAAGGCTCGGATTCAAACCCTGTTTTGGAGGGGCTGGCAGGTGGCATGGTGGTTGGGGCATTGGACTCCCACATGGCAGATGTCAGTTTGAGTCCTGGTGGCTTACTTTCTCGCTTTACCTTTCTCTCTGTGTGAGTCTCTTTCTGGTCAAATGAAAAATAATAATAATGGGGCCAGCAGTTAGCATAATGGCTGTGTCATTGGAATCCCATGTAGTCAATCGCGGTTCGAGTCCCAGACCCAGTTGCTTAAACTCATACCGGGCGCATGTGCATGTGTGCCCAAGATCCCGAGAGAAGAATGGGGGAGAAGGGATTGCAGTATGACCAACTCCCTTTCTCGCTTTCTGTCTCTCTGTCTCTTTCTGGTGAGCACATGCACGCTATAGCAAAAACCTCTCCAAAATAATAACAACAACAACAAAAAATGGAATTAAATAAATAAATAAAATTTAAAAATAAACCCTGTTATGGAGTATGTGGTGTCTGGTTTCCTTAACCACTAGGTTTTGGGACCAGCCGCTGGAATTATTTTCTTAATTTCCATTTCAGATGACTCATTTCTGATATGTGAAAGTACAACTGATATTTACATAGTGATGTTATATCCTGTTAGCATATACTGAATTGAATTGTTTTTAGTTATTTTTATTTATCTTTCCTTCTAAGTCTCAATATTTAAGTTGAAATTAACTTTCAGGTCAGAGAGCGACATTGAATGCAGAAGAAATGGCCGACTTTTACAAGGAGTTTTTAAGTAAAAATTTCCAGAAGCATATGTATTATAATAGGTAGGTATTTACTTTTTTCCTAAAAATTTGAATATACTTAGATTAATAAAATTATTTTCATATTTACTGAATAGGATTATTTTCTAAGTTATAGGTAAGAAAATACTACATTTATATTAGAAGGAGAAGCTGCACAATCTTCCCCACGTTTGTTTGTGCACTTTTAATAAAATTTAGGGAGCAGCAGATGGTGTAATAGTTACGTTGCTGGACTCCCGCATAGTCGACTGCAGTTCGAGCCCTGGACCTGGCAACCTAAACCCACGCCAGGGTGTGCGCACGTGCATGCCCAAGATCCGAGACAAGGATAGAGAAGGGATTACGGTGTGGCCATTCCCCCAGGGGGGTGATCTCTTGCTTTCTGTCTCTGTCTCTGGTGAGCACATATGCATTACAGCAAAAATCTCTTAAAATTTTTTTTGACAGCTTCTAGTTATTTGTATGGCAACCCACAGCAGCTCCCACCCCTCGTGCTTGGAGGCTGGTTCTGGGCCCTTCTGTTCCATGTTCAGCCGTGTAGAAGCCATGGTCTGGGGGAGGAAAAGCACAGGACCAGTAGAGACATCTTCTGGCTGAAAGCCAGGGGTCAGCAGAGGTCCCTGGGGTCACGTAAGCTGACGCCACAGGAACCTCCTTGAAAGGGCCTCCATCACAAAGGTGAGCTTGTTCCTTCCACCTCAGAGAAAAGTGAACAGGTGAGTTAGAAAGATCCCAGACACACACGACTTTGCAGTCACAGCGAGATTCGGGCAGAGGCTCTGGTGACCTCCACACTGCAGATTCCCACTCCCTTGTTCTGAGACTCAAGGAAGGGAGGAGAGTCGGGGACACCCAGCTCCTTCCCTGTCCCTGTCCCTGTCCCTGTCCCTCGGCGAGCAGCTGAAGCAGCAGGACTGCGATGGAGGAGGAACTCTGCAGGCCCTCACAGGCCGATGTCTTTCCCGCGGAGTCCCTGTCTAGGTGACAGTTGGCGGTGGTCCAACCGCAAAGCAGGGAGGCCGGTGGGCCCGGGCAGGTGGGGGGAGCTCAGCCGACATGGTGGGCCAGGGCACGCCTCCACGCACATGGCGAGGAGCAGGGACGTGGGAGCAGGGGAGCACGTGCCACCCCCATGGTGCTCTAAGCTGGCTGGCTTCCGAATGCAGGTGCAGGTTACAGGCAGCTGGTCATGGGTGTACTGGGGTGCACCCAGAGAAGGCCACGTTTCAGACAGCAGCTGAGCCCCGACGCTAGGAGTGCAGCAGACAGTCGGGATGGGGTTGGTGTCTTCAGCAGGTAACGAGAGTAAGAGCACAGGGCTGAGGAAGGGAGGAAGGGGGCCACCGTCGGTGTGCAGCGGCCAGGCCTCCTGAGGGTCCTTGTCGCTTTCGCGCACCTGTGAGGGCTATGCACATTCATTTGTGCTGACAAACTTTTTGTCTTTTGTTGATTGTGTAGGACATACTGGTGGAATTGTGGTTGTGTGTGGTGCTTCTTTTGTTTTTTAGAAGAATTTGGGGCCAGCAGGTGGTGTGGTCATTAAGGCACTGGACATTCCCAAATGGCCTACCACGGTTTGAGTCCTGGACCTGGTGGCTTTCTCTGTGTGTATGTGTGTGTGTCTGGTCAAATTAAAATGAATGAATAAATAAATAATTCTTCAAAAATGTATTTAATTTTATTATTATTATTTTTTAATTTGCTATAGGGCATGTGTGCTCATCAGAGAGAGACGGGGGTGTGAAGTAGCAAGCCACCAGGTCTGGGACTCAAACCACAGTCGGCCATGTGGGAGTCCAGTGTCTTAACTATCATGCCGCCTGTGGGCCCTTTTTTGTTTCTTTTAGGTTTTTGCTATAGGACACATGCACTTGCCAAAGAGAGAAAGACGGGGGAGAAATTGCCCCCCAGGGAAGATCGCCACACCACAGTCCCTTCTCCTCTCTTCTCCTCTTGGGTTTTTGGGCATATACACAAACATACCCTGTGTGATTTTCAAGCTGCTGGGTTCAAGACTCGAACTGTGGTTGACCATGTGCGAATCCAGTGCCTTAACCACTACGCCACCTGCTGGCCCAGTGGGTGTGTGTTTTCTAGAAAGGTTTGAACGGGTCCCAGTACCTCACGTCCTGTGTTCACAGGTGAAGCAGTGGGTGTAATGTGAGAGACTTGCTGTAAGACCTCCATGCCAAGAGCTAGCGCTGGCCATGCTTACAGCTCGCAAGGGTAGTAGTGGGCCCTACACGCGGGTCCTGGAGGCTCGGTACTCTGAGCCAGCCGCGTCGTCAGCCACCCGCGAGGACACCGCACAGAGTCCAGGGGCTTGATGTCCCTGCGCAGCTCTGGGCGGAGGACCAGCTGGGCTCCACGTCCCAGTGTGCTGCTCCGTGGGGACGGCAGCTCGGTGCCCCCGCACCCACAGGCCGTCAGATCAGGTCACGTGGAGGGGACGAGTCCGGCTTCCTCAGCATAACAAGAACTCTAGCCCCAGGGGATGCCGGTCTCTGCCCAGAGTCTCTCCCCATCCGTACCTGGGGCACTGCTTCCCATCCGTGGCATTTCTGAAGTGGGCAGGAACGTAAAGACCGTGTGGAGGGTCTCGCCCAGCCTCACCAGCACTCCAGGCGTGGGCCTGTCCCTCCATTGCTTCCTTCGCGCCCCCTTCGCCCCCATGCTGCTCCCCTCCCTCCTGCAGAGACCCCTAGAGCGCCAGGGCTGGGCAGCACTTCAGTGCCCGGGCTCAGCAGTGAGTCTGGCCTGTTCGCCCCCACTCTGGGAGCTTGCCAGGCCTGGCCCGTCCCCTTGGAAACTGCAGCAGCGGGGTGGTGCGTGGTTTTGTCAGGCAGGCAAGCCCCTGGCCATGCAAGCTCCATCCCGGTGCTCATCTGGGGCTCTCTGCAACGACCTGGGACAGGAATTACAGACACTCAGATCATCTAGAAAGGACATGGAGCTTCAGGGTGTCGGCACTGTGATAAACTAGCTTCTCACGGTGGTGGAATGCTTCTGTCGTGGCTTTCGGAGCCAGGATGCCCTCCTCCCAACACAGCCTGCCGGGGCCTTGCTCAGCCGTCAGTGCCCATCACGCCACGAATGCTGCTGCACGGGGCCCAGGGCCCAGGCTTCGGCAGGCTCTACTGGAGCCTTGGCAAAACCTGGCGAAGATCGCAGAGGCCGCAGGAGGGGGAGGAGGTGGGGAGGGGTGTTCAGGCACATCCCTGGCACCTGCTTAGCCCGGGGGCACTCCAGCTGGGTGGCTTCTGGGTAGTAGGCGTAGTGAGGGCGGGAGAGGGTCGAGCTCCTGGCTGTCCACGGGGGTTGGGTCCCAGTCCCTGGACTGGGTGACAGTACCCCTCTTGTGTCTCCACAGAGACTGGTATAGGCGCAACTTTGCCATCACCTTCTTCATGGGACAGGTGGCTCTGGAGAGGCTGTGGGGCAAGCTTAGACGGAAGCGGAAGACAGTGTGCACGTAGGAGCCCGCCCTCAGCCACCTGCCAGCCCAGGACTCCGCAGGGAGCACCGCCTCCAGGACCCTGTCCCACCCGGACTCCGGCAGTGTGAGCGACCCCGATCCCGGCTGCAGGGCCCTGTCCCACCCGAGCTCCGGCAGTGTGAGCGACCCGGATCCCCGCTCCAGGGCAGTGCAGGTCCTGACTCCCTCCTGGCTGGAGCCCCGCCCCAGCTTGTCATGGACTTGGCATTAAATGAAACCCAGTACCGTGTGTGTCCCTGTGTTTAATAGAGCAATATGAAACCATCAGCAATGGCTCACCCGCCGAGTCAGCGCCAGCAAGGCTGTCATCTGGCATGACGGTCGGCTGGGCACTGCCCTCGGCCGCGCCTGCAGCAATGGCAGAGTGCCCTGAGCTGCAGGGACAGCCCTGGGACTGTGGCCCCTTGGCCACTTCTCTGCCGAGGAGGCGGGGCTGACGCTAAGATTCCCTCAGCTCCCATGGGCCATGCCCCATCTTCCTTGTTCATGACAGAGGTTGCAGGTGCGCGTGTGCATGCATGGGGGGGCGGGGTCACCGGTGCAGGGTCTGGCCACCTTGGTCCCCATCCTCCAGTCCGCTGAGTAGGGTCCTGGGCACTCAGTGTGTGCCTGGCATGTTCTGGGCCGCAGGAGCCGGGGTTTGAACTGTCACTACATGGGGTCCTGCTTCTCTCAAGTGGCACGTTACCACTGCACTGCAATGGCAGTCCTCTTCTTTCTTTCTTTATTTTTTGAAAAGGTTTTTGCTATAGGGCACGTGCACTCGCCAGAAAGACAGAGAGACAGAGAGCGAGAAATCACCCCCAGGGGGGATGGCCTCGCCACAATCCCTTCTCCATTCTCCTGGGATTTGGGCACGCACATGCGCCTGGTGTGAGTCTAAGCTACCGGGCCCGAGACTCAAACTGCAGTCGACTACATGGGAGTTCAGCGACATAGCCATGATGCCAGCTGCTGGTCCCTCCTGTTCTTTCTTTAGAGGATTTTGTCTTAGGGCACGTGCGGTCGCCAGAGAGGCAGAAACAGTGAGGGAGAAGGAGAGATCACGCACACATCCCCCGTGGGGTGGCCACACCACAGTGCCCTCTGTGCCATTCTCCTCGCATCTTGGGCACACGCACACGTGACTGCTGTGAGTTTCAGGCCACTGGCTCCAGGACTCAACCCACAGTTGGCCACGCGGGAGTCCAGTGAAGTAACCACTAGCCACCTGCTTGCCCCCAGCCCTCTTCTTTTCTTTTCATATGAAGATCGTTGTGTTTAATAAGCAGGCGTTTTTTACTATGAAAATAGTTGTCTCAATGTCCATAAAATAGGTGCATTTTCACAATTCAGTAAGCACACAAAGGTTTACAGGTCAAGGGCAAATGCAGGCCTACAGCAGAGCCAACAGAAATGACCTTTCAAAGACAGATTCGGAGGGGGAAAAAGGCCTCTCTTACTTATTTTAAGGATTTTTTAATGTAACTTTATTTATTTATTCATTTATTTCAATTTGACCAGAGAGGGACAGAGTGACAGATTGAGAGAGAGAGAGAGAGAAAGTGAGAAAGCAAGCCGCCAGATCCAGAATTCAAACTATGGTCGGCCATGTGGGAATCCAGCGCCTTTAACCACCATGCCACCTGCCAGCCCCGAGGCATCCCTTTTTTGAAGACCCGTAAATATCTAATGCGAATGAAGTTTAAAATGTTAAAGCTGGGGGAAGGGGATCAGCAGTTGGCAGAATGACTAGGTCACTGGACTCCCATGTAGTCGACCATGGCTCAAGTCCTGGACCTGGTGACTTAAATTCAAGCCGGGTGCAGATGCGTGCCCAAGGTCCCAAGAAGAGAATGGAGGAGAAGGAATTGTGGCGTGTTCATCACCCCGGGAGGTGATATCTCGCTTTCTGTATCTGTCTCTGTCTTTCTGGCGAGTGCACACACCCTATAGCAAAAACCTATCAAAAAAAAAAAATTCAAGTTAGGGCTCTTATGCCAAAGAATACTTTTAGGAAGTTCACAATGCTTTGAGATAGAAAACCGAAAGTGGATTTTTAAGTGAATGGATGAATAATTAGATTTGACAGTATTGTACGTCTAGTAAACGTGAAAAACCCAGGGTCCGTAAATATTCGATGGCCACTTTATAAAGTATTAGCCCCCCCATCACCAAGTAACTTAGATGTCTCTTCTTAATGACTTTTGTTTTAATTATTTAACTTTATTATTCTCAATTTGGCCAGAGAAAGAGGGAGCCCTCCTTTTTTTAAACTCTGTTAGCCCAGAATTTTTTGATGGAGATCTCTCTTTTGAGATGATGGAGCCCCGTGGCCCAGGGAGGTTGCAGCCCGCAGCCCGCAGGAAACTTGCTGCCTTGGAGCCAGGCCCATTGGGAGCCGTGTCCTCTGAGAGGTGAGAGGTTAGGGTTAACTGAAAGAACGCAGTTTTTATTCCAGGATGAGATGGGACAGGTTGGAAGGCTAGCAACTTTGTCTGTGGCTTATAACCTGCTGCTCTGGGCGTAGTTTCCACAGCTTAGACCAGCTGTTTGGCCGAGGTGGGTGTGAGTCCTGGCCCCATGTGCCTGCAAGTCCCCGGGGCTTAAGCCAGGGTGTCTGGGGTGTGGTGGCAGCCCTTGAGTCTGAGAGTGACCTTCCTGTAACCAGCAGAAGACAGGTGGGTTGTCTGAAAGGAAATTGGTCTCCTTTTTAAAAATTCTGTTTAATTCCACTTATTATTTTAATTTGATGAGGGAGAGACAGAAAGGGAAAGTGAGAAAGCAAGCTGCGGTTTTCAGAAGCGCGAGCCCCGGTGTGGGTGGTGGGTGGTGGGTGGTGGGTGGTGGCATGCCTAGGTGGGTACGGTATTACAAACCGCTAGAGATCAGGAGGACTCGGCGTCGGCCATGAGGACAGAGGTGTATGTCGGAATGCCCGAGTGCCCGTCGTCCCTTGTCTTTGCCAACCTGAACGCACTGGAAACACCTGCCTCTGGGCCTCCCTCGGCCGGGCGGTACACACCTTGCAGAGCCCCCGGAGTGTCGGAAGTGCCAGGTTCAATGTGTGGCACTGGCGCAGATGCTGAGGGTGTGAGAGTGCCAGTTGATAGAAATGATTTCTTGCCGTGTCACAGAGAAGGGAAACGGCTGTCACAGACTGCCGACTGCTGGGGCGTGTTTCCAGTAGGGACCTGGAACAGCCTCGGTCTGCATCTGCTCCCCGACACGTCCCTCACCCAACCTGACCAGTCTGCAGCTGCAGGGAAGCCGGGAGTCCCCTGGCGCTCCAGCCCACTCAGAGCTGCCACCTGGCACTGGCCCCACCCCAGGGTGGCCAGCCCGGGCTGTGCAGGCTCTCCCCCGGCCGCGTGCTGTCCTCTGTCCCCTGTGCGCTCCCAGTCATCGCCTCATCCTACCGTGGCCTCTGTCCCGTGGCGGTCTGCCCATGTGGGCAAGGCACATGCTGAGGCCGGCTCTGCTGCCGAGCCCAGCAGCCAGTCAGCCACGGGGAGAGAGCTCACAGCGAGGCAGGTGGCGTGGCGGTTGGGGTGGCTGGATCCCCTGTGACTGACTGACTGGTTCGAGTCCCGACCTCGCAGCTTGAAGAACACGCCGGGCACATGTGTCTGTGTTCCCAAAATCCTAAGAGGAGAGTGGGGGAAAGGGTTGTGGTGTGGCCATGGGGGGTTCTCGCTTTCTTTCTGCCTGAGACCCACAGGGGTGGTGCTGAGTCACTAGTCGGGGAGGGGCTCGTCCTGAGCGATGCTGGGGCTGAGGTGCTGCCACCCCACTGCTTTGGGACACACCGCTGCTTTCCGCAGCTCACAGAGAGCCCCTACCACTCGGCACTGAGAACTGAAGGCCCTTCACAGACACCACGCCAAAGGGACGCTGGCAGACCGCGTGGGAGATGCATGTGTCCTTAGGGACGCAGACTGGAACTGGGCTGGCACTGCGCCCACAGACGGCTGCCAAGGCAGAACACGGACATGCCTGCTCTGGGGCGGGGCACCAGAGCCCTCCTGCACCCCCTGGACGGCAGCTGACGAGCCCGAGAGCCCCCCCCGACCCCGCGGACAGCGGGTCAGCGGG